GCTATTGCTTAAATAGCGCTATCTACTGCGAGGATCGTGCATCATACGAGTTTAATAAGTAAAGTAGTTATACTGTCTAAATATTTTCAATTGATTTTATCATTATTGTCATCGTTATTAATAATTTTTACGCGTTTGCTTATTTTTCTCTTCAACCATGAGTTACTAATTCCGTTATAGCTTCCTTTCTTTAAATCCTTTCTGGATTGTATGTCTTTCTTAAAAGTGTATCCTCGAGAAAACCGGTGTTACTGAGACCGAGATGTAATTTAGATACGCCATTTTTGGGAGCTTTACCGTAGCTCTCACGATTAAGGGTGTGATCAAACGGTCTCCTTGTCAGCAGTTTAGGATTTGTACAGGGAACAGTATGGAGAATATGCATGCTGATGTTAGGGTGGAAAGGGTTAGTATTGTGTATGACGTAACAATGCCTTACGTAATGAATTGATAAGATCGTTGAAGCCAATAGTACTAGTCACAGACTCGAGGGACACCAATGGGTATGTGAATATGGGCCTGTGTTAATGCATATTAATCTCGGCATTTGTTCACTATAATTCTAATCTGTTAATAGATTTTGAATACATTTCGGTGAAAAGATGACTGAGTGAACTTAAATATTTAAAACATGGCGATTGTTGCGACTAGCGGTAGAAATGCAGCATCTTTAGCATCATGACTCTCACCCTTATTCATTCATTTATTGATTGCATTTGTATTTTTCTTGTTCTTCATATTCCAAAAAAGCTCCAGCCAATCAAAACAATACACGACCAACAGAGGAGAATGTGGGAGAAGTTTGCACAGCATCTGGTATAGCTGGAGAAGGTATACCACGTGCCCTTCAGGGATTTAATACATAATGCAACCACTTTTGAAAAGAGGAAATTTGAAGGGTTGGGGGAGAAGTGGATGAAAGAACAGGGAATAACCAAAGGGGAGGGAGTAGGACCTGTTACTGACATTCGACTTTATTTTACGCTTGTTGTCGTGTCTTTTCCCTCGTTTTTCGTGCAGTTTAAATGAAAATAATTTATTGTCTTTCTTTTGGCCCCCGCGGGGCAAGTTTGACAGCTGTTTTTCGAAATTCATATGTCTTTTCTGTGCGGTAGCTTAGATGGGTGTCGATTAGACTTACAGATAGAGGAAAAACGACCAAAGTTCTCGTCTGGTCCATCTCCACTGGTGGGTCCGCCAGCAAGGAATAGTTTTCCTTTGCAGGTACTCCACCGTTGTTTTCTGTGGCAATCCTATTTTATTACCTTTATTGCCTTAGCAATAACCAGTATTTGATGCCAAAATAAACTACCTTATCGAAGGATATAAATACATTAACAAATTAACGCGAATTTCGAGATTTCGTGTTATTTTTGTTTGCGTTAATTTCCGAATCGTTTATTTTCAAACGTGTTTATATCCACGAACGTTATTTCCATTACTTTTACCTCAAATTCTCGGTGCACTCCACACATCATTAACCTTTGACGATCCGTATGACTCGCACGGGTCGTCTAGTTTATTCACGAGTCGTGAAGTTTTCACTATCCGTGAGTCTGCATTGGAGTCTCTCTGGCCATGACTTAGTGTGTCCACTTATAAATGAGCACCACGCGAGGTGTACAAACAACAAGCGTATTCTTCGTTCTACTAAAACGCACTGCGCGAAATGCACGTACGGCAAG